CTTAAGGGTTATTTTTTTGTTAAAAATTTGTGTATTGGGTAGTTTTAGTCTGTTTTAGTCATTTTAACATAGGGTTAGGTAGATTGTTAAAAAAAATAAAATTGTGTGTTAGAAATCTGTTAATTTAGTCAGTTAGATAGGTAGTTAGTTAGGTAGTGTGGGAGGAGGCATATGCGTCCGATTTTGACCCAGGTCAGTTTTCTGACATGTCTAGTGACACGTCATCTGTGTGTGAGCCGGCTGCTAAAAGAAGCTGTGCTACCCCTGCTACGCCGAATATGGAGGAGGAGTGGGTACCTCCACAGTTAGCTGAGCCCAACACCCCCCTTTTTAGTGCCAATGCAGGTATTAATGTTAATGTGCAATGACTTCTCTCCTATGCAATATATGAAGCAATTTTAGGGAATACCATCTGGGAGGAGATTGCTTCCCAGACTAATCTATATGCTACCCAATTTATTAATACCAATCCGGGTAGCTATACAGTCAGGGTACATGCTTGGCATCCCACAGATTTCCCTGAACTGAAAAGAATTCTGGGCTCTTACTATACTCATGGGGATTATAAAGAAGCCATTAATTCATTCTTACTGGAGCACCAACCCTGTCTGTTCTAATCCAGTGTACTCCCAAACCATGTCTAGAGCAAGATACAAGTTGCTTCTCCACTTTTTATACTTCAATGACAATACACTCTGTCATCCCAGAGATCACCCCAATATGATAGGCTTCAAAAAATACGCCCTCTGGTAGACCATCTTCAAAACCAATTTTTTTGAAGTTTATTCCCCCCAACAAAATATATCAATTGATGAATCGTTAATGAAATATAACAGGAGATTAGGATTCAAACAGTACATCCCCTCAAAGCTGTATGTGTGTGGGTGCCATAGGCGTGCCAGCCTATTGCATTAAAGCACAAACACACGCCGCATGTATATATATATATATATACATAAACACACATACATATACTGCTGTTTGTGTGTGTGTGTGTGTGCTGTTAGTGCGCTGTGTGTTTAAGGGTGATGTGTGTGTGTGAGGGTCCTGTTAGTGTGGTGTGTGAGGGTGTTGGTAGTGTGCTATGTGGGTGAGGGTGCTGGTAGTGTGCTGTGTGTGAGAGTGCGGTTTGTGTGTGAGGGTGCTGTTTGTGTGCTGTGTGTGAGGGTGCTGGTAGTGTGCTGTGTGTGAGGGTGCTGGTAGTGTGCTGTGTGTGAGGGTGTTTGTGTATGTGTGTTAGGGTCCTGTTAGTGTGCTGTGTGTTTGAGGGTGCTGTTTGTGTGAGGGTGCTGTTTGTGTCATGCTGTTAGTGTGCTGTGTGTGAGTGTGCGGTTTGTGTGAGGGTGCTGTGTGTGTTTGTGAGGGTGCTGTTAGTGTGCTGTGTGTGTGAGGATGCTCTGTGTGTGTGGGTGCTGTGTGTGTGAGGGTGCTGTTTGTGTGCTGTGTATGTGAGGGTGCTGTGTGTGAACGCTGTTTGTGTTAGGGTGCAGAATGTGTGTAGGTGCTGTGTGTGTGTGCTGTATGTGTGTGTGGGGGCAGATTAGTAAATAACCCCCCTCCCTTCTTATCTTGCTGTCCAAGGGAGAGTGAACTCTAGCCTGCGGGGCTATAGTACTGTAACGGATCACCTGGCACCCCGACTGGGTACCTCCGTTAAAGAATGCTCCTAGCGCTTCCTGAGGACTCCAAGCACTGCAGCAGACACCACAACCACCGAACCGGAGAAGCATGTGAATCCTCTCAAGCATAGGAATGCTGTAGACAGTTGAATAGGAACCATACGAATAGGTTTACTCTCCTAGCAGTCAAACTGGAACAGCATACAATAAATCCTTCCCCCAATAATGAGACAACACTTCACTTTGAGGGTTAAAACAGGAACTCTGTACTGTCACATACAGTCTCTTTTATTCCCAATCCACAAACATAGTACAGCCCACAGGGCGTTACAAAACAGCCAATCAATCCATACAATACACCCAGACACTCCCACATAAAATCCTCCCCTCTGGCTGTGATATGATTACTGAACACAATGGGTAATCTAATTATCACAGCCAGAGAAATACAGTTTCATAAAACACATCACAGGGACCCCAAAACATGCAATAACCCCATAAAAAGTATATCCTTGGAACTGGGGGATCTGGGTGAAGTACGTTGGAAAATACAGTTTAATGCAGATTCTGCAGAACATATACAGGCTAAATAAAAAACAATCACTGTATAATATGTCCCCTGCTGTATAGTCCAAAACCACCGCACGATGTCTCTGTGCAACAAATATTGGCGAGATGGCACCGTGTTGAAAAGTCCACACAGTGTCTGTGAGTTAAAATGGCCGCCATCTATTGTTCTCACCATGTGCTTCTGATACAGGAAATGGTGGCCACCCAGTAACTCCACAGTATGTCCCCAGATGGTTCTTAAAAGGGCTAGCAGCAGCACAACACAAATCCATTATGCCCAAATCATGTCTTTAAAGGGCAATACATCCCAGGGGCCATAGTCACATGGCAGGAGGCTGGCAATCAGTCTTCTCCAATGCCCAGTGGCGAGGTCGGTTTCGGCACAAGTACACTCTCGCGAGATCTGAGCATTGCCGCGGCAACGCTCAGATCTCGCGAGAGGAACCTGGCGGAGCTTCTGTCTAGAGCTCCCCGGGTCCTCTCCTGCCTCCCTCCATGCTGCTGTGGGCTTGTGAGGTAGATCTTTGATCTCCCCGCCGGCCCATCGAGGCTTAGAGCAGAGCCAGCATTCAGATAGCGCCAGCTCTGCATGAGCCAACCGGATCTCCCCTGCCGGCAGGGGTCAAGTCCTGGGGAATAAAGTGTGGGAACTCTCCCAAGATTCTCACCCCCCCCCAAAAAAAATAATATACACTCATGTGTATATATATATATATATATATATATATATATATATATACGTACACACACATACACTCACACACACACATACACACACACACATACAGACACATACATTCACAGACACACACACACACTTACAGACACATACATTCACAGACACATACATTCACAGACACACACATACACTCACAGACACTTACACATACATACATCCACACAGACACTCACACACACATATATTGACAGACACTCACACACATACACTCACAGACACTCACACACACACACACACACACACACAGACACACACACATTCACAATTTTTTTTTTTTATAAAAAAATTGTCCACCCAGCCTCCCTACCGGGAGCGCTGGCGTGGACTTGTCCCTGGGGTCCAGTGGATCGGGCGCCTGTCTCCATACAACAAGGCGAGGGAGCTGTGTGCTCTCTGCTTCCTCTCGCCGTGCAGGCTGTCTGCTGATGTCATATTCCGGCTCCCGGAATCAACAAATGGCGCGCGGCGAGAGGAAGCAGAGAGCACAACGCTCCCTCGCCGCTTGTTGTATGGACACAGGCGCCCGACCACGGGGTGGGGGGGTATTCCATCACCTCTTGCCCCCCCCCGGCGGGAGGAGGAGGGCATTTGGGGGCAGCAGAGTGCCTGCAGGAGCAGCGGGAACGGCGTTCCCACGCATTCCTGCAGGACTCACAGGCGTGCCGCGGGAATTAGGGTGTGCCCAGGCACACATGGACCGCCCCGTGCGCACGCCTATGGTGGGTGCTGTATGTGTGTGGGTGCTGTGTGTGTGTGGGTGCTGTATGTGTGAAGGTGCTGTATGTGTGTGCTGTGTGTGGGTGGGTGCTGTATGTGTGTGAGGGTGCTGTGTGTGCTGTATGTGTGTAGGTGCTGTGTGGGTACTGTGTGTGTGAGTGTGTGTGCTGTATGTGTGTGGGTGATTGTGGGGGGTGGAGGTGGGGGTACATTACTTAATATCCCCCCCTCCCTTCTTAGCTTATGTAGAGTGGGGGGATTCTTGTTCCTGCTGCTTTCCCTGGTGGTCCAGTGGAGAGCGAACTCTAGCCCCTGTGGGGATAGAGTTCACTCTCGCGAGATCTGAGCGTTGCCGTGGCAAGGCTCAGATCTCGCGAGAGGAACCCGGCGGAGCTGCTGGTTGAGCTCCCCGGGTCCTCTTCTGCCTCCCTCCATGCTGCAGTGGGGAGGGAGGCTGAGAGCAGAGCCGGCGCTCAGATAGGGGAGATCCTGAGATCTCCCCTGCTGGTCTCACTCCATAGGTGTGCCGCGGGGATTAGGGTGTGCCCAGGCACACCCGGCACACCCCGTGCACACGCCTATGGCCCAAATAGTCAGGTCATTAAGGGGTTAATATATAGTTTTGTTTTTGCTTACTGAAATTAATAGTTAAGTATTTTCAGAACGCTGCCCTTAAAGCCTTCTTATTTAGTCACAGCACCTCACTCACTTCCTAATGAAACCTATGCACACAGCTGAGTCTCTGACAGCAGTGGCGGCTCTAGACTTGGAGAGGCCTTATGCAAAACTGAAACATGCGGCCCCCAACTAACACCATTAGTGAAAAAATAAAATGGCGGTTGGCTTGTGTGTATAAGAAGCTGTAGATATATTGAAGGGCGGGCTTGCAGCGTTGGATGTATTGGTTATAGCCCCCATTAAAAAAATACATGGATGCTTTCATTAGAGGTATTTCTCATAAACAGTGTTTTTTTCCCTCTGTTTACTAGGGTCTACTGGGTGCCCCTCCCTAACGGGGCTAGCACGATGACTACTCTTAGCCATGAGCTACGGCCTATACTACCAGACTAACCTCTAACCTAGAGTTTCTGGCTCTCTTTCACTAAGTAGAGGAGACAGAATCTTTAGGCAAGGTGTCAAACAGTTCTAATTCAATTTCACATCTTACAATATGGGGGACATGGACACTCCGGGTACCATTACTACCACATTTCAGTGTAGTACTTAGGGTTCTTGGCAGGGTTGGATTTCCATGCCGTGTGCCTGTGGGCATAGAATTCCCCCTGCTCCATATCCTCTGAAAAAAGTCAGATAAAGTGAGCTTAATGAATGCAGCAATTAGAGATTGCGGGCATACAAAAAAAAAAAATCTAAAAAAACATGTATTCAGATTTGATAACTGCATATGTATGTATTTCTGCTTGTATCTCTGAGTATAGGGGGTGTATGCATCTGTGTAAAGGCATGCCTGTTTAAAAATAACATTAGAAGTGGTGATGGTAATGGGGGGGTCAAGGTTATAGAGGGGTAAAAGAGTTAAGAATAGATACACTCTGTGATCGAGGGTTTTATGAGTTACATTACATCTGAGGCACTCTGAGCTGGCGAAAGGGTTCAATCACAGGTTTGCAAGGGCTCCCGTGACGTCGGATGGAGGAGTGAGATCAGCGCTAGGGGCTTCTTCTGACACTGAATCTCAGGTTTGCAGTTTTACAAAAATTTTTTCACCATTTAAGGAGGAACAAGAAATGTCCAACAGGTGAAACCCCCCCTCACCCCCCAAAAAAAAAAAAAAACCCAGAACTGAGTCAAAAGGATTCAAGTAACACTTTAAATTTGGTACAAAAAAATGGGTTTATTTGGAAAAAAAATACAATTTAAAGTAATGGGAATAAGTGGTGTTTAGGAGTCGGACTGTGGAGTTTGGCCTGTCATTGGAAAAGTACTAACTTTATGATTCAGACAGGTGCCTATTCTGCCTAGTGGGAGATTTGCTCCTTGAAGTATTCCTTTAATCAGGCATAATATAATAAATGAATGTTAAGCAGAATTCAGAGCAAATGATGCATTATACATACTGTACTCTTTTTTTTCTACAAGTCTACAATTCCCAGGACTCGTCCCTCTGAGATCTAGAGGTATGACTGATCGCATCAATATCTAGTTGCAAGTTGAAGAGGGATGAGAGATATCTTTAGCTGTCTGTGCAACATGTGGGTGTCCACTGGCTTCATTTGTATAAATGTGTGTGAACGTGTAAATTAATTGTGTATAAGAATGAACTATTGCATTCCTTAGCATTTCTATAAAATGTGGTTTTACACAGATATCGTTTTATTTTCAAGATATGTTAAAAACTCTGTACCTATGGGCACATGAAATGTAAATAAGGCCCGCAGGTCTCCCTTTCAGTAAACCAAGTTTAAACAATGTATCAGTGACCCTAGTCCTCTAAACTGTTATCATTTAATTAAATCAGCAGGACATATATATCTATATATATATATATATATATATATATATATATATATATATATATCATAGTGTGTGTGTATATAGCTATATTTGTGCTCGGAATTTATCTAATACGTAATGGAATGTAGAAGGAGAAGCAAAGTTGGTTAAGGTGTGCCGAAACTGATGTACAAGTAGGCCTGTAGAAGAGGGCCCACCAAGGTGAATTGTTAATATAGATGGGTGTAGGTGGGTGGGGACAAACAGCTTGCACAACAAAGTTAGTAGAGGGTAGGGTTTATATAGGATCATAACTCCTCCCACAAATTCAGGCCAAATGGCCTTCCAACTTGTGCTCGGAATTTATCTTATACGTAATGGAATGTAGAAGGAGAAGCAAAGTTGGTTGAGGTGTGCCGAAACCGACGTACAAGTAGGCCTGTAGAAGAGGGCCCACCAAGGTGAATTGTTAATATAGATGGGTGTAGGTGGGTGGGGACAAACAGCTTGCACAACAAAGTTAGTAGGGGGTAGGGTTTATATAGGATCATAACTCCTCCCACAAATTCAGGCCAAATGGCCTTCCAACTTGTGCTCGGAATTTATCTAATACATAATGGAATGTAGAAGGAGAAGCAAAGTTGGTTGAGGTGTGCCGAAACCAACGTACAAGTAGGCCTGTAGAAGAGGGCAAAAGAGGATTCAAAGAAAACACACTTTATTGCAAGTTTATACAGCTTGTGTACTGAAAGCTTGTAAGGAGTTTTACTCTGATTGAGGTATATATGTAACTAAGCTGAGGATTACCTGTGGCCCCATCACCTAGTGATGTGGACTGGGGTGTAAGAGCCTGAAGCCGCTGATGCAGCACTTCTGCGAAAAAGAGAGACCAGCGAAGGAAGCCATGATGTAGCTTACCTTAATGGAATGTTTAGACGTGAAGTAATGGATTAGTACTGATAGTGTGTGGCTGACCTTGGATACGTAAAACGGAGTGACAGCATAGGAGGTATAAATAAGATGCTTGATTTGTTTAGAGGAAAAGGCAAAAAGTAATTTAGTTTAAAAAGTCTTGAATCAAGCAAACACTTGATTACCAATACTTGTGACATGGAACAATATACAAAGCCCTGGTGTGAGTGATAGAATAATTGTGAAACTGCGTGAAGCGTGTGTACCTGTATGAGGTGTAACTGTGTGCTTAGTCCAAGATTATCTCATGAAAAGGTGGTATACTGGATGGTATGTAGTAGGTCGTAGGGAGTGCCTGAAAGAAGACCTTAAACTGAGCTTGAAAGAGCGTCAGCGGCTGTGTTGTGGACACCAGGAATGTAAAAGCAGACTAAAAAGAGCTGAGAGGTTGCTGCCAGCCAAGTCAGCCTGTGAAAATAGCCACAAAAATTGT